GGATGTTAGCGGCAACAAAATCACTATAATAGATGAAGCAGTTTTTTCACATTTGCCAAATCTTAAAGAATTGTAAGTAACTATTAAATACTTAGTTATTTTTAGAACATATTGTCTTAACTGTCTGCAAATAAATATTAAATAGCTGTAGGATGAAAAACAAGTCCTATCAAAGGGCAGAACTCTAGGCGAGTCAACAGCTTGCTAACTAGAGGTGGTGTCTCAATAAATCACCATGGAGAAGGCAACAGAAAACTATCCTGCTATCACTCCCAAGAAAAATCATGGCTCTTAACATGTGTGGAGGGTCATGATTGCCAATGTCTTGAAGGGACACGAAACATAGAAAAATGTGTTTAATAATTTGCCCTACATGTGACAAAACAGGGTTGTTGCATGTGATTTCCTTGTGTCATATCCCTTCATGGTAGGGACAATCATGGCATTGCTCTTCACAACTTTCTAGTCTTCATAGCTATAAGCAGTATTTGTTCCCTTACTGTAATTCCCAGTCCCTGTCTTGCCCTCAGTGTGTCCTGTGGGTGTCAAGTTCTCCATGTCCTCTTTCTTCATAATGTATCCCAGAAATTTCAATGGTTTGTCTGATTCTAAGTATGTCCTTTTTTGTTTCCTTTTCTTTAAAACTTCCTTGCTGCTCACATGTTCCATCCATGGTATTCTTTGCATTCTCCTGTAGAACCCCATCTGTTTCCCCAAATCTCATATTCATCTGTGAGGAAACTGTCTATATGAAATCTATTTAATAATTACACTATTTATATCTTGTGTTTTTATAATGTAGGTGACTCAGTCTTGTATATTTTCTACCTATAACCCCTTTCTCTCAAACGAAATGTTACTAGGTTCTTGCTATTCTATCACTATTTTCATGGCTGATATTCAGGTGATCTACATTTCTTGCTGCTTCTAGTCCAGACCTTCATAGCTAGGACCTGCCATGTTGAATACACCAAGTTAACACATCCTCATTCCCTTCATATTCCATTGGTAAGGAGGAAGTTCCACAAACATCTTCTCCAGAAACTGTTGTAATGTGGATCAGTTTCCTGAGGAGATGCTTCCCTTAATCTTAACCTCTTCGAGGCTAGAGTCAACCATCATCTCACTTACATATGTTCATAATATGCAATCCTCACTCCCTCTCTGAACACACAACGTCCCCATTCAGTAGCCCTCTACCCTTAGTAGCATTTAGGCCTTGTATTGGGTGAATAGTAGTTTTAAAAAAAAGAATTCTGGCCTTGTCTCTTGACAAAAGCTTTTGGTTAAACCGTCTTTAGGAAAACAGTTTCATAATTTCAACCAATGCATTTTCACACTTGGAATTTAGTTCCCAACCAAAATTTCTTTATCTTCTTTATCTGCTACATTTTCTTACAAAGCTTGAGTTGACAGAATTAGATGGGCTTCTTTTCTTTTTTTTTTTTTTTTTTTTTTTTTACATCAGTTTGCTACAAGCAAAGCGATAATGGCACTAAGATGCAAGGGCTACTGGGAGTTGTAGAGCATGAAAAAGATTTTAAAAGAAACTGAAAACCCAATCCAAAATAGGGTGGTGGGACCGAGGGATAAATCTCTACTCCTGTATAATAATAAAAAAAAAAAACTGGGAAGGAGTGTGAACCGGGCGATTTCAGGAAAATTCATTGGGAATGCCTTTTTTAGACAACATCATTTTGTCAGCCATCTGTGAAGTACTTTTGGTTTTGTTTTTTCCTGGAACATGTTCAACATCACAATCAGATGATGGCTCCAGTAACGTGTTTCTCTGTGCACACACGTACATATGTGTGCAGATAAGTTACCAATCCCTAACCAGGGCACCACATGTACTCACCTATATTCTTGCATTCACATATGCCTGTGCACTTACACTTGAGCAGATGTAGATGTGTGGATTGATTCCACACTGTAAACACCTGTTGGCCTCAATATTAAATCACTTTTATGCCTTTTGTTCACCCATTCACAAAATACATGCACACATATTTGTGCGATAAATGGGTGCGGAAAAGTTCTTCACCATCCACTTCAAAAAGTTAATATTTTAATGTGCAAACATCAAAGTACTTTTTGGGGGCAGGGGGTGGTCAGGTTGTGGACTTTTCAGCACACCCATGTGTGTGTAACACACACACACATATATATATATATATATATATACACCCTCCATTACTCTGGAGAATTTTTTTAAGTTTTTTAGACATATAGCAGTAAGTCAGTTTCTTGATAGCAGTCTATATAAGAAAATAGACATGTCTACTCAGAACAAAAGAATTAGTTTTTTTGTTTTTTTTTGGTGGGGGGGTCCCTGTTCCCTCACTTCACAGTATGATATTGTCCCTTGAATTAGATGCACTAAGATTTTGATTTTTGTGATTTATGTGATTTAAATTGTAAAACATGTAGATGTTCATTTGCAGAATAACAAATACAGTTATTGTGTGTATCTGGTGCCTTTCTATAAAAATGTGTTGTG